TGTGTGTGTGTGTGTGTGTGAGAGAGAGAGAGAAAGAGAGAGAGAGAGAGAGAGAGAGAGAGAGAGAGAGAGAGAGAGAGAGAGAATGAAGCATTTTCTTCACAAGGGCGAAAGAGAGTGCTACGTACTGATGGTTTTGATGAAAATCATGTACAACTGTTAGCACATTATTTAACAGTTATTATGTTTACACACTTCAAGAACACATTCATGAAAATTTTAAATATGAGAAGAGAACTATGATTAAATATATTGGCAATTGTAGTTGAGATCAGTCGATAAAATGATATAAGCGGAAAAAACTTGCTCTCTCCCCCTCTCTCAATCTAACTGAACGTCAAGTAATAGCTTCTATGCAGCGTAGAAAAGGTCCGAATGTGGTAGGATTGTTTGGGTTATTACAACCTTTAGCAGATGGTTTGAAATTAATGATAAAAAAACCTATTCTACCAAGTAGTGCTAATTTATTCATCTTTATAATGACTCCAGTCATTACATTTATGTTAAGTTTAGTTGCTTGGGCAGTAATACCTTTTGATTATGGTATGGTACTATCAGATTTAAATGTAGGTATAAATCGGGGTCGGGAATATACTTTCTCACAATCCTCATAACTACGATTTCATATTTATAAATTATAAAAGCTTAAGAAAATATAGAATCTTCATGAAAAACCGTGTTCAAATATTGACCCACCATTCAACTTCCACATAGATTGTTTTGTACATAATCCCACATTATGTTGTATTTGATATATTATACAATATTATGCCATTAACCTAGAGGGTTAATAACTTAATTAATAGTGATGCTAAGGTTTTCAAATGTTACTCAACTCTTCTTTTCATAAATATTTATAACTAAAACATAATTATCCCTCAAGATGACTATTCGCAGGTTTCTTACCAACTGCTTAACAAACATATAATGTGAAAGTTGAATTTCAATGGATTCAACGAGCACGATATGTCACTTTGTCGGACGTCTTACATGTGTGCAATAAATTGTATAAGAGTTAATTTATGTGTGAAGTATGCATGAAAGAGTTTGGATTCTTGGAATGATAAATTCTTTCTAAGAATCAAAGCTTATTGCAATGAAGCATGCTGTAATAAAGCCATTCACTTTTTCCTCCCTCCATTCTTACTGCACTTTTTTTTTTTACATTTAAGCCTTTTTTATAATTTTTTACCTTAAGTAAATACATATAAATTATAAATAAATACAAAAGAGAGAGAGAGAGAGAGAGAGAGAGAGAAAGAGAGAGGTGCTTTTTAAAAGAGTTTTATGTTTTTTCATTTGAAATACTGATTAGGAATTGAATATCAAAGTAAAATGCAATTTCTCCAGGATGGGTAGGGATACGCTTGAGGATAATTCATACTTCCATCTCACATGGAATGTCTGTGTAGAGGTTGGAAAAGAAAAAACAAAACCAAATGGCCCTGAAGTTAAAGAACTCCCAAGGGAAATTGAAAAATGACTTGACATTTTCATTTCTCTCTGTGGAGACCCATCCATCTGGTATGGCAGGTTCTGTTTAAACCATTACTACCTTCGAAAGTCGTCGCCATATACGAGCTGTGATGCTTTGGGCTGAAGAGTTCTGGCAGCTATGGTCCAAGTTCTTTGAAGTCGCAACTCTATTTTTTCCGGCGGGAAATATTTGGGTGAGCTACTTATATGTAGACATGAATGATGATGATAATTGCAAGGCTTATACAATGTTATCCCTTTTCTGCGCACTTCAGATCCTTTTCCAATTGATACAATGTTTTTTTCAAAGGCCTAAGTTTGTATTTAGTTGATAACATAAGACCATATGAAGATAAAAATAAGTGTATAATAAAACTTCAGCCTGCTAGGGAGAGGTGAAGACATAGTAGTTAAATGGTCTTTGTAAAGCATTACTTCTTTTCAATGCAGATTCTGTGATTCATGCAATGCCTGATGAACGGACACTGAAAAATGATAGACTCCGAAAAAAGGAAAAAAAAAAGCATAACAAATAGCACCAAAGTTAGGTGCATGCAACGAACCGCTAGAGGAGTGGATGGGGAACTGAAATGTTTAAGTCCCCAAATAAAAAGAGAAAACCAACAGCACTAAAGGTTGGTATAGGTGGGTATACATGGGTATACTATAAGGTAGGGGTGGGTATAGGTGGGTGTGGTATAGGTAGGTACAATAGAAGAAAAGAAAACACTATTGCGAACACGGCGCGCCAGTAGAGCAGAGTGGGCCAAAGTAGATTTGAACTAATGACTTTACATTTCTCAGGCATCGTTTAGTGCGCTATCCAGTTGAGCTATAGGCCCATGCTCCAAAATACTCTTTTTAACTCTCAAGCCCCAAATCTGTAGTTCGGTGCTTTATACAATCGAGCTATAAGCACATTTATAGGTCCAGAGGTGGATACGGGTGGGCAGGATTGGGTACCCGTCCCTATAGGTGCAGGGGGTACAAGTGGGTATATGTGGGTATAGGTTGATAGATTTTTTATAGGTGGGCAGGTGTGGGTATGGATGTGCATTGATGAACCGGTGGGCAGGATTGGGTAACGGTCGGTCCCTATAGGTGCAGGGCCCACTCAGTGTCACACTGGATCGGCCACACTCCTATCCGACTGCTAATGGGACCATGCTCCAGGTTGTCCCGGACATCGAATAGAATACACGCACAGGTGACACGGGTGAAAAATAACGGAAAACTCAGGCCTGCAGACGAAAAGAAGCTTGTGCATACAGTTTGCCGGTTGCCGGAAAGCTTAAGGAGTGGGGAAAAGGAAAAGGGGGGAGGTTGTCACAACCATCAATTTGGAATGTAGAAAATCAGGGAAAGCACACACAATTCCAGAAATACTCTTTTTCGTTTAACAAACATAGATCACAATCAAACAATTTATTTGATGATATTACAGGCCAGCAAGATGCCAATGGTTCACTGAGTCACAGCTACCCCGTCCCAAAGAGGGGAACAAGCGAGAAAAGAGAAAAACCTCCATCACTCGTGCAAACTCGATGGGAACAGGATAGCTGGAGCAGTGGGCGTGCGGTATGGGGGTCTAGTTTGGTCTAGTTTGGTTTAGCTTGGTTAAGGATGGTTAAGGATGGTTAAGGATGGTTTGGAGAGGGGGAGGGTGGTCAAGGATTCCTGGAGAGGTGAGATATGGATAGCAGCTCATGCGGGACGGCTGGAGTACTGGGCTTACAGTGTTTTTTTTTTTGTTTTTTTTTCCTTTTTTGTTTTTCCTGGGCTTACAGTTTAGGGGGGGTTAGTTTGGTTTAGGTTGGAATGTTTGGTTTAGCTTGGGTTAAGGATGGTTTGGAGAGGGGGAGGGTGGTCAAGGGTTGCTGGAGAGGTGAGATATGGATAGCAGCTCATGCAAACTCGATACAAGATAGCTGGAACAGTTAGTTTGGTTTAGTTTGGTTTAGTTTGGTTTAGTTTGGTTTGTGTAGTGGTGTGGTTTAGGCCCTTTAGGGTGGTTTTCGTCGGAACTTTTGAGTTCCTCTTTTTTTTTGGCCGTTTGAAAGGGGTTTTGGGCGTTTTGGCGATTTGGCGGCCTGGTAGTGCAAGCGGGCTTCGAATTCGAAGTCCGCATCGACGACTTCGGCCGCCCCCTCTCCTGCTAGGACATTCGGAGGCATGCACACGCGCTACTGCTGCCATCGCCCGAGGGAGCAAGAAGCAAGGCAAGAAGGCGAGCACA